TTTGTAGATTTATAATTCAAAGATTCTTGTAATGTTATCTAGGTGAATCACACAAAATAACATATTCAAAGAAAAACGTATTCATACAAGATAAAACTAAAATCAAATATATTCAGTATTGAAATAGATTATCAACAATTTTATATTCTAAAATGTAATACACGTGTATCTATTAGTTGAGCGATATTGTTTTAGTGGGATTTATTTAATTTCAAAAAACCTAGTCCCGATGTAAATCCCCCCGAGGACGAAAAAGAACTAGAACATGCTGAAGCCACGATAGGGGATATCCCGCTAAAAACTTCTGATACATATAAACTTCCGAAAGAAAAACAAACAACCACCCTGAAGAAGTTTAAAGAAATGCTAAATATGAAGGAGAGAATAGGCACAAGAACTCGTTCAGTAAGTTGCAAGTCCATACACCTGCTAACAGTAAATTTTACTAATAATGTAATAATCATTATCGAATTGGTGTAGCAATACAGAATCCGGTATGAGTTTAACAAGAAAGTTTACGATCTTAGAGCCAAAAAGGTAGAAGCTCGTGATAGTGTCCAACTATTTCACACTAAACTGACCCAGTTAAATCGAGAAATTCCTGTGTCAGAGCGTCGTCAAGGAATTCCTATACCACGTATGACTGACGAAGATTTTCCTGAAAAACATCTGGAAGTTAGGGCTTATAAAATAAAAACTCCTAGAAGAATGCGAGATAGAGATATAGTGGAGGAAAAACTGGAATCACCACAGTGGGAACTTTTGGAGAAAGAAGCTTTGCCAAACATGGAAAAAGGTGATGATGATAGCGCAGGAAGCACGCAAGAAATAAGACGACACCCTGAATTTTATTTGAGCTTCTTTGAAAAAGTTCCCTACGAAAAAGTTAGGGAAACAGCTAACCTTGATTATTACACACTTATAAATCAAAGTAGTGAGGAAGTAGAATCTCCTTGGGAAATAGAAATGAGGAGTACTCGTTTAGTCAGGTAATTTATTCAAATGGGATTATGATTTTAGTAAAAGGTAAAACGTTTTTTTATATATCCTATGTTAGTTTACTTATATCCGCAAATATTAGAAATGCTTCCGAATTTAAAGTTGCGCAATATCCTTGGCTACATCAAGTTACGACACGACCCTGCGCTATCCTCTAATAACAATTTATCCAGGAGATGTGTATCAGAAATAAATGGAGATTGTTTATTTAAAAATATCCCGTTCTC